AGGGGCCCGGCCTGGGGCGAGCGAGACGCGTTTGCAGCTGCCGCGCCAGGGGTTCCCGAGGCGCGGCAGGAACTCAGCCCCTCCGCGGCCACGCGTCTTCCCGGGACCTCGCCTGCCTCTCGAGCCGCCCCAGGGCCCCTTCGCCGGCAGCCGAGTCCAGCCCAGGCCCGCAAACGCCGCGTGGTAGCGCCACTCTCCACGCCCAGCGCTGCCCGGCCCCCTCGAGCCCGGCCCTGCACGCCGGCAGCCGGAGCAGCCCCCAGCCTGGGAAGGGGTTTCTCAAACCTGCCCCTGCAGGCTGCCCAGCCCGAGACACCTTCCACGCTGGGCTGCGCCGCCCTCCGGCTCTGCGGGCCCAGCCACCGCTGGAAGTTGGCCCGGGGCGCTGCTTGCTGGGTGTGTTGGACTCGAATCTGGACTGGGGGCAAGTCCCGGACAGTCCAGTGGCCCCGGGGAGCCGGAAAGGAGGACTGGCTTTCCTCACGGGGTGGTCGGGGGTTGGGGAGCTTTGGTCTGGGGACACCAGAGCTGTTAGGGGAGAAAGGGGCTGGTCTAGTGACTAGTGGAGCTGTGCAGGGCTCTGTGTGTGTGCCTGGGACGGGGTGACCGGTGTCTGTGTGTGTGTTGGGGGGGGCAAGCAGGGCGAGCATGGGCCCACGGCGGCTGAGCTGTGGCAGAGTGTCTCCGAGACAGGCGGAGGCAAGCTGGTGGGGGGGCGGGCGTGGAGCTCCGGCGGCTTTTTTTTTTTTGTCGCACCCCCCCCCGCGTCCCGAAATTTCACCTGGGTGATCTGGTCACCCTAAGTATGGAGAGTGTTTCTCAAATGAGGTTGCGCATTTATTAGGAAAATGTGGAGAAGAAAAAGAATTTGGATGGATGGGGGGGAGGGGCACGTTAAATAACAAACATAGCAAAATGAAATAAAAATCTGGTATATTAAATAATAAGACAAACTGTACCAGTGGCCCAATTCTGATTCCTTTGCCCAGCTACCCTAAATGCTGCAGCGTGATGGCATCCGTGATCAGGCGGAAGTGAGTGTGGTTCAGTTGTGCTGGCGTGACTCCCCTACCAGAGTTCACTTGCAGCAGCAGCCTCTCTGTGTCCTAAGGTGATGTCAGGATGTCCTCATCTACATCCTTGATGCTGCCTGCCCATGCACTCTTAAGGTGCACATCACTCCTGAGAGCCTCCACTCCCTGATACACTCAGGAGCCATCTAGATGCTGGGATGAGGTGACAGCCGAGAGACCTGGTCTCACACACAATACCTGGGATTACTACAGCTGAAAGGAGTTAGTAAGACAGTTATTTTTCTCAGTTTATTTTGTTCATTTATGCATGGTCACTTGCAGTTTCTTCTGTATGGTAAATTTCTTTGTTGCTGAAAAGATTCTTATAAACGTTGATAAGGAAGCAGGAAAAGTCATTTTCATTTCATGTTTTAAAGACGTAACACCTGTCCTCTCAAATTGTAAGGTGCTTTATCAGAATCAGGATTTCTTTTTTTTTTAAATTAGACACACATTCAAAAAGTTTCAGGTGACGGAGTCCCTTCAAGCTTTTTCGCTGACAAGACTTCCTTGCTTGAGCAAAGTTGAATTGCTTTTATAGTGCCATCCAAAATGGCTGCTTAAATCCACGGGAATTTTGCATGAGTCAGTCACGCCCATTTTTATCAAAACTACACTCTTATTGAGATTAGCCACTGTAAATGCCAAAGACCGGCGCAAATAGAGATTCAGACTTAATGGGATGATGAAATATATGCAAATCTTAAGCACATAAGCAAGATTGATGCATTTGTTTTAATCACATTTAGAGATCCAGGGGCAGATCAGAGTATGGAATTTGCCCCTCAGTTTGAATGGAGAAAACTGTTCATGTTGCAGATAAAACCGAAATTCAAATCTTGCAAAGATTTACACACCTTCTTACCATTTCAAATTTGTTAGTAGCCCCATTGACACTTCAATGGGACTATTCACATTGCACAAAGTTAAGTAGTGCAAGTCTTTGCAGTGAGTGGGCCCAATTTCTTTTTAACCCCTTGATGCAGGGAGTCAGGTTTGTTGATTAAGTATGATTCTTATTGCTAACAATGTGCTATGCAGACACCACCGTTCCATCAAATTAATTTGATTAATTGATTTCTATTATGGGGCAAAAGACTTAACTGTCCACTTAAACAATGAGGAGTCTGGTGGCACCTTAAAGACTAACAGATTTATTTGGGCATAAGCTTTCGTGGGTAAAAAACCCCACTTCTTCATATGCATGCAACTGTCCATTTAACACCCAATGCATTTGATGTGTTTTTTTAAAGGGAAGAAGCAAATATCAGTGCTATTTAAATATGGGATTTTCCATATCTACTATATTTAGATTGGGAATGTTGCAGAAATAATCAATGAGCTGACACAGTCCTTATTTTATTCACCATTGGTTTATTTCCCAATTTGTTTCTATCAGTACATGAGTAAAATTTTCAAAACCACTTAAACAAGCTGAATCCCACTGACTTTTGATGGCTCTGTGTACGTTATGAGTGAGGTATGTTTCCTCTGCTCACTTATACTTGCTCACGTTAGCTCTCACTAAGCTAGCACAAGTATAAGTAGCATGGGCAGCAGCAGTGGAGGCATGGCTTAGCTGTGCCAAGTACATACTCACCTGTTTCAGGTGGGTTTGTACTTTGGATGGCCAAGACTCTGCTGCAATTGCCTGTGCTACTGGGCTATGCTTCTATTTATACATGCACTAGCTTGATGAGAGTTAGCATGAGTAGGTACCTGTGAGCACACCCCTACCTTGTAGTGTGGATGTAGCAAATGAGACTTAGGCTCCTAAACCATGCAGGTGCTTTTGAAAACGTTACGTCCATACACTCGTGATTCAGTGTTAGCTCAGCTAAAGTAAACTTGTTTGTGGTGGGCATGGCCATTTTGCGGA